ATATCAGCCCTGACTGACCCCCAGGGGCTGATGGGTGGGGCCAAAAAGGGTCGAATTTACTGAAATTTCAAAAATCTTCTTCTCAAGACCCAGATATGGTAGAATCAAATACTCTTCATAGATGGAAGGGTCTTAAGGTTTATGACCCTAGGGTCTCACGTTTACCCCCTGGGGAGGAAGGGGGGGGGGGCAAAATTTATTATGGTTTATAATGGCAAATGATACTTTGAATATTACATGTTAATAACTTGATTGGAATTATAACCTTGAATTGACAGTTTGATACTTTGAAAATTTTGAGCCAGCCCTACCCCCAAGGGCTGTAGGGTGGGGCTCAAAGGAGTCAGTGTGCTAAAATTTCTTCATTTTCCTTGTTAAGAATCAGAGGTGCTAGTTTCAAATCCTTTTTAGTCTGAAATCTGTATGCTAGATATTGAGTAAGGTGGTTTTATTGTTTTTTGTCACTTTGAATAATATTTCTGTTCATGTTAAAAACAAAATCAACCCTCTGTATAAATATATCAGGTGACCGTTAAGGCCCATGGGCCTCTTGTTAAATCTGACATAGTCCTGACGTCCCTTGTGACTTGATGTAATGGGATTAAAAAATACATTTTGTATTTCTATCATGTTCAAAACATGTTCACTTTCATGACAGAAATAAACTTCAATGTCAAGAATACACGAGGCAATCCTGGTATCTAAAAAAATGTTTATTTTAATTTTCTTCATCCAGGATAACATATGCACTTTGCAAAAACATCAACTAATAATTCTAAAATTATTTTTCAAAATATTTATTTTGGTAAACCCACAGTAAATATTTTTCACCCAGCCTTCACTTAGATTGTCTGATGTACTGATATAACCCTATTTTTATATCAGCAAAATATCTCTAATACAAATTTCATAACAGTTATTCAATATGTTTTTCCCTAGAAATTTATAATTTAAAGATGACAGGATCCTGAGGTTTATATAGAATAGTGCTGAATGGAGCAAATGTTCTGTTGTCATTGTTCATTTTCCTAAAAAACAAATGTTGGTTCTCATAACAATCATATTTATAGCACCGATGATTGTGCTTCTACACATGCCTGTCACCACAGGATGACAGTTATATGGTACTGACATCTTGGGACGAGTTTCAAGTTACTGACATCTTGGGACGAGTTTCAAGTTAAACTGATATTTTGGGACGAGTTTCAAGTTACTGTCATCTTGGGACGAGTTTCAAGTTACTGTCATCTTGGGACGAGTTTCAAGTTACTGTCATCTTGGGACGAGTTTCAAATTACTGTCATCTTGGGATGAGTTTCAAGTTACTGTCATCTTGGGACGCGTTTCAAGTTACTGTCATCTTGGGACGAGTTTCAAGTTACTGTCATCTTGGGACGAGTTTCAAGTTACTGTCATCTTGGGAGGAGTTTCAAATTACTGTCATCTTGGGATGAGTTTCAAGTTACTGACATCTTTGAATAAGTTTCAAATTGCCGTGATCTTGCAATGTTTTTGGTATGAGTTTCAAGTTACTGTCATCTTGGGACGAGTTTCAAGTTACCGACATATTGGGATAAGTTTCAAGTTACTGTCATCTTGGGATGTTAACATCCGCATCGGGTGACAGTTTGAAGTTCTGGTCATTAGGTCGACATGTTTTTTACGCTGTTACGTTGAGACAACGGTTGTAAGTGTCCCTCTGGGCGACAGTTGCATGTTAATCATCATCTTGGTTGTATGTACATTTCATAACCATAACCTTGGAATGACAGTTGTTTGTTATCTAGGAAAAATACTGTGTTTGTTACCTAGGGAAAATACTGTATGTTTGTTACCTAGGAAAAATACTGTATGTTTGTTACCTAGGAAAAATACTGTATGTTCGTTACCTAGTGACAATACTGTATGTTTGTTACCTAGTCACTAGTGACAATACTGTAAGTTTGTTACCTATGGACAATACTGTATGTTTGTTACCTAGTCACTAGTGACAATACTGTATGTTTGTTACCTAGGGACAATACTGTATGTTTGTTACCTAATCACTAGTGACAATACTGTATGTTTGTTACCTAGTCACTAGTGACAATACCGTATGTTTGTTACCTAGGGACAATACCGTATGTTTGTTACCTAGTCACTAGTAACAATACTGTAAGTTTGTTACCTATGGACAATACTGTATGTTTGTTACCTAGTCACTAGTGACAATACTGTATGTTTGTTACCTAGGGACAATATCGTATGTTTGTTTAGATTAGATTGATGATACTCGTGTTTGTAAAATTTAGCGACATATCTCGTTGGGCACAATGTATACGTACTGATCGACCAAATAAAGTCAGTTTTAAGCACAAATTGTTTCTGTTTTGTTTTTCTTCCTTTCACCTGTTAAATACGTTTTGAGATAGAACAGAAATAAAAAGAACAAGAGGCCTATGGGCCTTAACGGTCACCTGAGTTATGTAAAAACTGATGTTATCATTGTAACAAAGGTAACTTGAACTACATGTAATGCAAAATCAAGTTTGAATGATTTCCAGTAGAAAATGAACAAAATATACTCAAAAGCTGCATTTTCCTACATAAACTATAGTAAATTTCACCCCCTCCCCAGGGGCAAATGTGAAGCTTGAGGGTCATGGAATTAACAATTTTGATAAAGTACCTCAAGACCCTTCAACCTATGAAGAGTATTGGTTTCCAGCATATCTGGGTCTAGAGAAGATGATTTTTATAATTAAGCCAATTTGACCACTTTTAGCTCAGCCCTTTGGGGCGGGCCCGGGCCCAAACTGTCAATGTACCAAACCGTAGTTATATAGTTATAATGTCTGTCAAGTTAGAATAATTTCCAATTGAAAATGAACCAAACATACCCAAAAGTATCATTTTCCTATATAAACTATAATTAAGTTTGCCCCCTCCCCAGGAGCAAACATGTAGTCTGGGGGTCATGAAATTCACAATTTTGATAAAGCACCTCGATCAAGACCCTTCCATCTATGATGAGTATTGGTTTCCAGCCCATCTCAGTCTGGAGAAGATGACTGTTGAAATTTCTGGCTATATGACCCCCATACAAACTGTCATCTCATGGTTATAATGTAAATCAAGTTTGAATGATTTCCAGCAGAAAATGAACAAATATACCCAAAAGTTGCATTTTCCTATATAAACTATAATAAATTTCACCCCTCCCCAGGGGCAAACGTGAAGCTTGAGGGTCATGAAATTCACAATTTTGATAAAAGTACTTCAAGACCCTTCCACCTATGAAGAGTATTGGTTTCCAGCATATCTGCGTCTGCAGAAGAAGATTTTAAAATATTACGTGGTAAAACCAATTTGACCACTTGTAGTCCCGCCCCTCAAAGCCCCCGGGGGTGGGAACCATATAATTCACAACTTTGTTGCATATTTAATCAAGGATTACAAAAATCCTCCCGATGGTTTTTCTTGCCCACAATTTGACGCATCAGCATTAAAATACAGCTGTCACATTGTGCTTCACTTACTCGAGTGTAATGTCACATGTAAATCTACAGCTGTCACATTGTGCTTCACTTACTCGAGTGTAATGTCACATGTAAATCTACAGCTTTCACATTGTGCTTCACTTACTCGAGTGTAATGTCACATGTAAATCTACAGCTTTCACATTGTGCTTCACTTACTCGAGTGTTATGTCACAT